GGGTGAGGAAGACATTCCTTGTGTGTGTTTGTGTGTGTGTGTGTGTGTATGTGTGTGTGTGTGTGTGTGTGCGTGTGTGCGCGCGCGCGCGCACGTGCCTGTGTGTGTATTTGAAACATTGTTTACTAATAGTATATATTATTTTTATAATAAAAATAAAACAAAAATCTACTTGCTTAAAGACCCTTCTAAGACCGGTTTCAAAATCACCTTGGAATATGAAGTTTACCCACTGTGGAAATTGTGGGTGACACTCTGTGCTGGGGATATGTCTAGATCTGCTTGAGGCAGCCATGCTGAAAATACTGGGAAAGTGTCTTACCCATTCTCTTTCTCTTAGCAAACATTTTTCACTGGCCTTGCCAGCCCACTCCACAGTTCCCAGGTAGGACAGAACAGGGTGCTCCCTGTAACCTCTTCTGGAGGAGATCCCAGCTGCAGGGAAAGCTGTTTCCTTTGGGAACCTCTCAGGATGTGGGGAGACCCCCAGCCCAGCCCACCTGGCTCTTTCCATACCCTCCCCCCCCTCCCCCAACTCCAGGGCTTTCCACTGAACACTTCTGTTCCAAGGGGTGCTTCTACACCTCTCTTGACCAGTGTCCCTCAGGGTTAAGTGTCAAGGAGCAGCTGACGAGGACTTAAACTTTCTTCCAGACCCTCTCTACTAACTCTTGTTTGCACCTTACATTTCTCTGTTCCAAATTACCAGTCCACACAGAGTTTCCAGTATTTGTTTTTTCTTGTCCTACTCCATTAAGGAGGCTGAAAATTGTAATAATTACAGTGAGTGGCAGAAAGAGGCGGGATCTCAGCCTCCTCGGGGTCTGAGATTCTCAAACCACCCCCTCTAGCTTTCCTTAATGTGCCCTCTCCGCCCAACCCCCACCATGCCTCTGACTATTCTTGCTTTCTTCAAAATCTCTGGTAGAGAAGCTAGGGGTAGGGTAGGGTGGGGTATGGGTAGAGAGCTGCTGGAAGTCAGGTCTCCTAGCCGGTAATGTTTCGTCTCATCTCACATGCCCAACGTTGCACCTGCTGGCAGAAATTGTCATTCCAGTGGCCATCCATCTGGACTTCAGCACAGTCTTCACTTCCACCCTCCTCGTGCCCATGCCAGTTATCTGGCTTAGTGGCAGCCCAGTTCCTAGGAAGGCAGGACAGAGCTCAAACTCTGAATACTCTCATCTCAGAAACTCTCACCCCCACCTCAGAAAAGCACAGCATTGGAGAGTTCAGGGAGCAGAAGCTGCAGCCTTGGAGGTTAAGAGTCTGGAGGGGAGAGGGTTAGGGAATTTGATCCATAAGGGATGGGTGGGGGTGTATTGGGACAAAAGGCCAGGTGGCCATACCCAGGCCAAACTAGGGGTAGTGGCACTTACTTGTAGCTAGAACTGTAGTCTGTGCCATCAACCCATTTCCAGGAACCATCACTTTCAGTGAGACCTATCCAAGTACGAAAGGGACTCATGTGTTGTACAATGAATTTCTGAAAAACAGATGGGAGGGAAGTTTCTAGTCCCTTGTACCTCCATGTAACCATTAAGTGGTTCCCTCAGCCTTCCCCACCCTAATCTGCCCCCAAGCTGAAGGAAACTAGCTCCCAAGGAAACTAGTTCCTCGCTTTTTCTTCTGTAACCCTAGCTATTGTTTAGAGAACATTTGCTGAGCTAAAGCACATGCTAAATATTTCACAAGCCCTCTAAATTAGTTGCCTTAATTTACAAGTAAGGTTAAGAACTCAAAGGTGGTTAAAGAGCCCAGAAAGCCAATCCAGTTCCTAAATTTGTGACTGCTGCCCCTCCACATTACTCATCCTCAACTCACAACAGCTACCCTGACTCTAGTTGTCTCCACGTCTTCTGCTTATAGCTTCAAACTCGGTCAGAATCTTGACTCTGACCCCTGCCACCACTGTGGACCCCTTGGTTTCACTCTCCTCTCAGGTGCATCTGCCCTGCTCCTGCTTCTATGTGTAGCTGTCATTTCTGGAGGTTCACCAGGCCCTGGAGCTTCCAGTTAGACCCACTGCCCAGAGCCCCATTATGATTTAGCTACAAGGGGTCTGGCAGTCTGTCCTGAAAATAGGAGGCTGCGCTGGGTGTGAGAGTAGTTCAGTCAGCCAGCTTGCAGGGGATTGAGTGAGACAACTCACCAGGACTCAAGCAGGCAACAGATTCCCCCAAGTGGGCTTTTCTTACAGATATGGCTCTTCCTGGGGACTTAAGCCCCATGGTACGGGAAGGTAGCAGGGGAAGAGTGTAAAGAAAGCAGAGGGATATTTTGACCAACCTGCATACCTAGCAGTTAGTTCTCTTTGATGGCACACGAAGGGTCTCCAACTACATTTGGAGGAAAATTTCCTAATTCTATTCTCACTTCCTGTAGACACAGCTAAGGTTGCAGTTAGTCATCTCATTGGAGGGCAGATGCGGTAACATCCTTGAATTCTAGAATCCTGCAGGTAGGACAATGTTCTGTGCATAAAGGGGCAGCCCTCAGAGGTTGATTGGGCTACTGCTAAAATTCAAAAAAGTCAACAGAGATGGAGGGAAAGTGCCTAGAGACAAGATATTCTATTTGCTGCTGCCTGCTGCCCTGGTCCCCTTTTTTCCATCACAAGAAGCTGAATAACTGAACGAAGAATACAAATCATCAAAACCCAGCCCTCTGTGTCAAAGACCAATGAGAGGAGTCGAATAGAACAAGATCATAGGAGAAGATAGTCCAGAAGAATTCATTTCACCCTATTCATGGGTAAATAACAGGCAAGAAAGAATTGTGCTCATTCATAAAAGTGGAAGAGAAGAGAAATTATAGTGGAACTTATGCAAAAATAAAGAAGAGGAAGGAGAGAAGGAGGACAGAAGAACCGTGATATCAAAAAGAGAGCTGAAAATATATTTTGAATAAAAAGCATACTTTAGAACTGAAGGGGATGTTGGAGAACAACTTCACAGCCTCAAAAAATTAAAGAGGAGATAAATGACATACAATATCAAAGAAGAAAGATAAACACAATGATAAGAGAAGAAACTGAAGAGAAAAATTTGAGCTATATGAAAACAACCTAGGAACTCAGCAGAAAAACAAGAGTGAGTTATGAAAGATGGGACTGAGGAAAGGACCCAGAACACAGAGGAAAAGAGAGAAAGGTGGAAGTCATGGCAACAAGATGATGGCTGAGGAGGCAGACAATGGAGCTACTTTGGGATCATGTGCTCCAGAGGAAAAGAGAACAAATGGACAAGAAAAAATACTCTAATATATGACTTAAGAAAACCTTCTAAAATCTTAGAAAACCTAACTTTACATATTAAAAGAACTCTCCTAGCTTCAGAGCAAAAATACAGAATGAGCAACACCGAGATATATCTGGATGAGGTTAATGAAATTTAAAGATGAAAAAGACTCCAACTCTTCAGGCAAAATACTTAAGGAATCTGGAAAAGAAAAGAATGAGGCGTTATAAACTGCCAAGTTGCCGAGAGACTAGATCTTCATTGTTCTCAACACTAAAATAATAATTATGTGACATGAAATAGGTGATAGTTAACCCTACTGTAGTAATCATATCACAATATGTAAATGTAGCAAACCAACAATGTTCTGTCAGTTACATCTCCATTTAAAAAGAAAAGAAAGGCATGTGAAGAACTGTGCTGATTTTCTCAGCTTTCATATGGAAAATTATATAATATAAACTCCTTGGCTTTTTGAAGCCAATAAGTTTCAGCTTATCATTTAAAGTTATGAAAGGAATCACTAGTATCATGAAAAAATAAGCCACATCTAGTTCAAAATACCATAGGAGAGAAAACAAAAAGCATATATCTCACATAGCAAAGATGAGAAAACAGAAGAATAGAAACAGAAAAAGATAGATTAAGACTGAAAGTAACTATTAAAAATAAATGAGATACATGCCTGTTAAAAGACTCATTTGATTTTTTAAAATCAAAAACAAAACTTATGCACAGTCTTAAGCATGGCTCCATCAGTTGGGGGAACTCTATTAAAAATCTCAATGCCCCAGATGAATATAATTAAATCAGAATCTTTAAACTCTTCAAGTTTAAAGGCTTATAGTATAGAGCCAAGGCTGAGAAGCATTAATGTAAAACAGAAACTCAAAAATGTTGGAAATGAATGAATGGACAGAGCTACATTCAGCAAATGCTAGTGAAAAGATATCAAGGTCCATTCAATTTATATTACATAGAGATTAATTCAAGGCAAAAAGCATTCAACCAGACATTGACATTCACTTCACAGTGATGAAAGAGCAGCCCGTTCCACCATGAAGTTGTCGCCACCAAGAACTGTGGACCTATTAATAAAGTTAGATGAACTACAAAAAAACAAACAAAAAAAAACTTGTGAACCAACTCACAGAGTACTGAAGTCTTAGAGGTCAAAATTGATTAAATATTGGCGATTGTAACCTGATTGGTAAAGCAAAATATGTTTGTAATTATTCTACCAAGTAAAATATATATATTCAGATTCAGTAAATTTGTTCTGGCAACACGTAGTAGCTAAAAACACTGGTTAAGGAGGCAGAGTGTCTCTAAATTCTGACTACATACTGACTTACTAGCTGTGTGGCAAGTTCCTTAACTTTCCTTTTCCTTAGTTCCCTCATTTCTCCCTCCCTCAAAGTGGGGATAATAAGAGTGCCTACCCAGTAGAGTTGTGAGGATTAAAGAAGTAAATATATATATGAAAGTGCCTGTTACATAGTAAAGACTCAGTAAATGTTACCATTAATATCCTCCTTTTCAAAAACCAGACAAAAAAACAAAACCGCCCCACCTATTCTAACAGGTTGGTTCTTCCCTGTAAACTCAGGTGTTGGGAGTGTGGTCTGGTGGCAGCACCAGGCAAGGGAGACCTGGAGCATCTTGGAGGGACCCAGTAACCCTAGGTAGGCATGTCACTGGGAATGCCGCCCACTCTGTTCCTTTCACCCAACAGACCACAATATCCCAAGACCAGCACACAGCAAGAAAGGACTCTCAGCACCTCCATAAGTCATGGCTTTAGCTCATCCTGTCTCACATTCTGTCTCCTGACCTGCTCCTCATTACCTGCTCACTTGTCTCCTACCTCTTTGCCTGAATTTCTGGCTATAATCTCCCACCTCCGAATCAGTGGCTGCTCCACCATGGACCTCCCAGAGTTCTGCTGTTGGGCTCTTCCCTAGACTAAAAAAATAATAAAGCAAGCCTGATCCAGCCTCTCAGAGTTTACATTCCCCAGATTTCTTCCTGACTTTGAGAAAGGTACGGTTTCACCTGTTCCTCTCTGGAGTTGATGACAACCAGGTGCGCATTTTCCAGCTGGCAGTACTTTTCAGCCTCAGGCCAGGTCAATCCAGAACGAGAGAACCAGTAACAGCTGCCGTCATGCTCCAGCCAGTTAATGGGGCAGCATTCTGTGCCTGAGAGGATGGGAGTGGACACAGGGAGATGAGATCCAGCTTGGGGAGACAAGCACACTGGGTCTGGAGACTTCCCTGACCGTACCGTTGCTCCGCAGGAATTCCATCTGACAAGCCAGGATGCGCAGATCAACTGGGAAATGCTTTAGGTGAAAGAGCAAGGTAGCATGATCTAGGGGGACAGAATGATGGACAATGATGTGGGCTGTGTGGATGCCCCATCTGCCAGGACCCTGCACAGGACTCCAGCCTGTGGCTGGGAAAACACAACACACACATCAAACACCATACACATAGCACACGAACCACTCACAACACACACAAACACAACACATACACTCAAGCACACAGATGACACATACAACACATACTCACATATACATACACAACACACATTACAACACACATCACACCTATACTCACACACCTCACACACACTCACGTACCACACACACACTCACGTACCACACACACACACTCAAGGGAGGGTCTCTGACCTGCTTTCAGGTCCTGTTCCTGTTTCTCCAGCTTGGCTTCTAGAGTCGCCACCTTGTCGCCTGCGCTGCCTCCTAAAAAGAGAAAAGCTAAACTGTTTACCCTCCATTCTGCCTCCTTAACATCCCTCCATTTTCACCCACCGGTCTGAGTCACCACCACCTTCACCTGGGACGTAGCAGGCTCTGCTCCGACTTCGCCCAGTCTCCCTGTGTTGCCACACTGGCTGGGGAACAAACCTGCTAGGCCACTCCTCGGCCTAAATCCCTTCAATAGGTCTCTATTTTCTAAAAATAAAGCCTCACTTCTTGCCTGCATGACCTGACCCCTACCCACCTCCCCAGCCTACCCCTCACCACTTAGCTCCTGCCACTCCAGAAGTGTCTACAGTCCCAAAATGTGTAGTGGTCTTCCTCACCTCCTGGCCATTGCGAATTCTATTCTCTCTACCTCGCACTAACCCCCATCAGGGTCCCCATCAGCCTAGGAATCAGTGTCCCTAGAAGCCTTACCCAGCTTCTCAGTCTGGGTTATCTGCCCACAGCACCCCAAACGCACCCCTTTGCAGACCCTGAACTGGGCACCCACCTCAGAGGCCAGCAAACCTGTGCTGGTAAACCAGCGCCTCGATGACCCAACCACCCCTGGCCCTGACCCTCTCACCGTGGGAGCTGAGAGTCCAGATCTCCATCAGGGTGCTAGAAGAGAAGTTGCTGAAAGCTTCTTTTAGGGTCCAAAACTCCACTTGCAGCTGTGTTCCTTGTCAGGAGACAGAGGGCACAGGACAAAGGGAAGGGGGCTGTGTCCTACGTAACAGCCCCCACCATTGTCTGTGACACTGTTCCCCTCAGTGCCCCCATACTTGCCCAGCATGACCTCCACCTCTTCCCCTGTCATAGCTCTCATTGCCCACAGCACTGCCCATATCTCCTCCCCCATCGTGGCCCCATCCCTACTGGCCTCTGAGACCCTCACTTTGGGACCCAATCACACAGACGACCACCAGCAGCAGGAGGTTGAAGCCCAGGATGAGCAGACTGAGCCGGAACCTGGAGCAGAGATGCTGCAGCAGAAGGGGCTGGGGAGGAGGCGTCCCTGGGAGAAAAGGGGTATCAGAAGGAGGGATGTTGAGATCTGATGTATTGGAAGTATCCAGGGGGTCAGAAGTCTAAGGAAGTACAGCCCAGGTGGGTGGGAGGAAAGTAGAGAGGAGGGTGGTTGGGAGAGTCAATGGGCTTTGATCTCAGCTTTCAAGCATTGCACATTGCACACATGCACATTTGTACACTTGCACCCACATGAACACATGCACATATGCACATCTACACAGGTATATGCAACACACTTGCGCATGACACTGATATTCACATCAGCTGTGTGTAAAGCCCCAATCTTAGACCTAGGGGGCCTAGAGACTGGGCCTTGTGTTCTTAAAATCCATGCCTGGGGCCATCAGACAAGTCCAAAACTAGACCTCCCCAATTCCACTGGGATTCTTAAGTCCAGGTCATTCTACCACAGACCACTCCCCAAGAGTTCCCCTCCAAGCCCCATCCTTTCTCATCTCCCGCTCCTCAGAGCCTCTTCCCTCACTTCCCTGTCCTTCCGCCTCAGAAACCCTCGTTCCACTATAAACTCTCTTCCCTTGGCCCTCAGTCATCTTGTGGAAACCTCTCCCTTCCCTCAGTCAAGTTGAACCCTGAAAACACAATACACGCATGCACACGCGCGTGCATGTCTCACTGCACTCTTACACTCACTACTGAATACACGCTCATTGCCCCAAGCACTGCCCACATCTCCTTCCCATCATGGCTCCATCCTTGCTGGCTTCTGTGATTCTCACTTTGGGACCTAATCACACAGATGGCTGCCAGCAGCAGGGCCTTGAGGTCCAGGAAAATCAGGCACTTCCATTAACACACATTCTCATACTCACACACATTAACATGCACATTCTCTCATATGCACTCTTTCACATACTATAGCACAATTTATATACCTTCTCAAACACATACACACTGAGACACACATTCTCACATACTGACACACATGCACCCACATCTTCACATGCATAGAACTGGCTTCACCTCTCCTCACAACTCTCTAGGCCTGAAGTAGTGGCTGTTCTCCTAGCCCTGAGCTTCTGCTTTTGTACCATCTACTTCTAACAAAATGTTTTCTCTTCTTTGCCTCATTGCCATCTTCCCTTTCTTCTCATTGCCATCACACGCAGGTACTCTCACATCCTGGGGAGACTCAGTCAGTGTCCCAGAATCTTCCTCCCCAGGTCATCAGTTGCCACCATCCTGAGTTAGACACCTTCCCTGTGAGTGACCACCCAGAGCTCTTGACCTCCTCACACCAATGGCTATCACCTTGCTCCACTTCAGCCACACTCAGGACTTCATCTTGACCCAGAAAGGCCATGTCTCTGACACCTCCACTGCCTCCTCCCTGCTCTGATCACTGCCTCCCCTTTGTCTTCCCTGATCCCCTGTGTTTCTGTTCATCTAGAAGCTACCACAGTCTTCCCCACCCAGTTGGGACTCCATGGCTGAGTCTCTGACTGCTCCCTCCAGTATTGTCCACTCACTGGGCCCTTGTCCTGCTTCCCAACCTGACCTATGACTTATAAACCCTCAATCCTGGGTCAGCTCAGCAATGTCTCTGCACCTCTATCCTAAAACCAGACCACCCATGGCTGAGTCCAGCTGTGCCACTACCTAGCTCTGAGATCACAGACAAGTTATTCACCCTCTTGGTGACTCAGTTTTCTTGTGTTGCTTATACAGTCTAAAATAGTCAAACTCACAGAAACAGAAAGTAGAATGGTGGTTGCCAGGGGCTGGGGGAAGGGAAATGCAGAGTTGCTGTTCAATGAGTGTCAAGTTTCAGTTAGGGGAGAGGTGAAAGTTCTAAAGATCTGCTTGCACAGCACTGTGCCTACGGTTAACAAAGCAGGATTGTGCACTTTAAAATATCTTAAAGGGTAGATCGCAGGTTAAGTGTTCTTATCACAATAGAATAAATGTGGGTAAGAATAGCAGCTACCTGATTAGATTGTTCTGAGAAAGAAATGAGTTAAAACGTGTGAAGTGCTGCTTAGGCAAGTTTGAAAGTAAAACAAAGGGTCTGCCCAACATAGAATAATAGGGACTATATTTACTCTCCTCCCTGAGACAACCAAAACAAAAAGTAGACAACTATAAGAAACTACCATTTTCAAGACACTGGGCTTCAGGCAACACAGGGCAATGATCCCTGAGAGACAGGACACAGATGAGATGAGCCCTATAATTGCCCCAGCTGAACAGGAGAAACTTTTCAGTCCACAGGGCAGGGAGGGGCAATCCAAGCAGAGACTTGCAGATTCTCCCAGACGAGATGGGCTGAAAGACCAAGGAGACCAAGGTGGGTTAGACTTCACAGGACAGAGCATCAGAGGAGAGAGCTGCACTGACAATCCTGGAGATCTGTGGAGGGTTCCTCTCAAGGAATCAGCTGAGTACTAATCAGCACATGCATGTAAAGAAAACTACCCAAGACCAGGAGAAAAACAGTCTGAAAGGATTAGGGAACAGTGCCTAGCACTCAGGGCCAAGAATAGTGCCCATTCCCACCAGCCAGACTGGAAAACTCAAAGCCTAAAGGGCATTTGGTAGAGGACCCAAGAAGCCCTTGCCCCAGTAATGCTCCATACCCACCTAACAAATCATAAAAGCAACATCCAAAAGATCTAAATTGACTCCAAGTGATATAACTACATCCCAGAACAAAGCTCAAGAATATTTAGAGGAATACAAATATATCCAGTGCATAATAAAGTAAAATTCACAATATCTGGCATCTAATTAAAGATTAGCGGACATACAAATAAGCGGGAAAATACATTTCATAATGAGGAGGTTAATAAATCTATCAAAACTGATCCAGAACTGACACATATTAGCAATGGCGGACAGCACATTAAAATAGATATTGTAACTGTATTTCACATGTCCAAAAAATTAAGTAGAATATCAAGGAAGATATTTAAAATTCCCAAGTTGAACTTCTAGACATGAAACTACAATGTCTGAAATGAAAAATGACACTGGGTAAAATTAAGGGAAAGTTAGTTATGCATAAAGAAAAACTGGTGAACTTAAAGACATAGCAATAATAACTACATAAAAAGAAACCAAGAGAAAAAAAAATTTTTAATAGGATGAGAATCAGTGAACTGTGGAATCACTAATAGACGCATAATCGGAGTCCTAAGGGAAAGGGAAGAAGGTGGAGACAGACAAAATTTTTTGAGCAAACAGTGGCCAAAATATTTCCAAATTTGCCAAAAAACCGTGGGCAGATAAGACGCTTAGAAGAGTAACAGATGGTCATAGGAATGTGCAGGTGATCGATGCCAGCTCACATGAAGGCAGCAGAGGCTGCTGGAGAGAAATGTACTGACGGTTGAACCCCCTCAGTTGCCCGGCCATGTCATCCATCAGGCCTTTTGGGTGAGCTCTTGCTCCCATGAAACACAAAATCTCTGAACTCTCTTCAGGCCTCCTGCTTAAACTCTGAACCCTCAGAAGATTCAACAATATCTAAAATCATTTTTGAGTGTTCACTACATACCATGCATGCATCATGTGGGCACTGAGGACGCAGAGGGGAGTGAGACAGATGTGGCCTCTGCCTCGTGCAGCCTACTGCCTGGTGGAAAGGCCTGCTGGCCTACTACCTTACCCAGGGAAAAGAAGCCATTGGTAGGAATGCCTGTCCCTCCTGCCCATCTCCCACTCTCACCTGCAACAGCACTAGCTCCCGTGGTCTGCCAGCCTAAAAAAACTTCCTAGCCCAGGCTAACCAATCGCCCTCCCTGAGCTCCTAGCCCTCACTCCTCCTGTCTCCACAGATCCTCGCTCCATCACTAGCACCTACACACCTGAAAACCCCTTCCCCACCCCTGGCTACTGCCCTTCAGCCTAGAACAGCTCAAATCTCTTTTGCCTTGTAGGAGGCTTGAGGGGAGTGGGAATTTTCCAGGATATATCTGTGTCCATTCCCCCACCCATTCCCATGCTCTCCCTACACACATACACACTCTCTTGAATGAATGTGCTTTCCTTGCACACAAATGTGCATGCACACATACACGCACACAACACACATTGTTGGAACGAAGGTTGGAAGGAAGAGGGGAGGAAGTCATCTCCAGGTTCCACTTACTGCTTCACCTCTGGGCACATACCCTTTCCTGGGGTCCAGAAGGTGGAGAGGAAGGTGAGATCAGGGGCAAGCAGAAGTGTTGACACCTCACACCTAGAGGGGCCCAGTCTCTGCCCATGAAGTGAACAGGACAGAGACCTCAGAGAGTCAGAGTAATCAGGAGTGACGCAGAGGTTAAGTGAAGCCGCAGAAACTGGACACTTGCCTTTCCAAAATGCATCTTCTCTCCTGCGATTGTGCCCATGAGCACCTGGCTCCTCATCCCTACCGAGCTGGTGGTCGTTTTCCTCGGAGTCTAGCTGCTGGATATCTTGAAAGTCCTTTGCCATGCTGGGTCCAGGGCTGGAGCTACACCTGGGGTTGGGTCGAGGCTGCTCTTAGGGCTGGGGCTGAGTTCAGGGCTGATGCTTGTTCTAAGATGCTAATCCAGGTGGAGGCTGATGATGGGGTTGCAGTAGGGTCAGAGCAGATCGAGCCTACAGCTTGGTTTAGGTCTGGAGGTAAATTTGGGGCTGAAATATAGCCAGGTTCTGTCCCTTCTCAGGTGATTGCTTAGGCTGCGACATGGCCAGGAAGGAGCTTTCCCTCCACACTCTCACAGATCAAACCATCCCACATCTTCCCATCTGGTCTCCACTGCCCCTGAACTAGGGTCTCCTTAATCCCAAACATCCCCAGTCCCTAACCTTGGTTACCTGTTAAAGGTGTGAAGGGCTGACTTTCGGGTCCCTCAGGCAGCCCAGGTCCCAAGGTTAACGAGGGGCTGGAGCCAGGAAAGTGAGGCAAGTAGTGCTAGATAAGAGAGAAGAGGAGGAGAGGGGGCTGGTCCAGGAGAGAACCCTGAAATCCCTGTGTCCGAGTGTCCAAGTGTCCAAGTATTTCTAATCTGACATCTCCTGACCCCAGAACTTTGGACAGTAAACAGAAGTGGAAATGGAGTTGGAACTCAGGCAAAGCGTTGTGGGGGCGGGAGCAGGACTGTCTCTGTTCTTCCTGAAGAAGGGGTCTCTGGGTCTGTCCCTTTAACCCCCATAAGCTGGTCATCTCAGTCCTCATTGCACAGTTTGGGAGGGGGCCAAGCCAGGAGGGTGAGGATGCAGTTTCTGGTTTTCCTTCTGCCTCTCCCCCCTTTCACTTCCTGCTTCTGATTTCTCAGAATTGTTGACCCTGACCAGAGTCAGAGGGGCAGATTCTCTGCTCTTGCCCAATCTGGCATCTGAACCTCAGCCCTCACTTCCTGCAGGCTCAGTCCCAGGCCTCCAGCTCTGGGCTGACCATCTTCACTCTCCTGGGGGGTAAAGCCCTTGGAGAACCTGAAGTGCAGGGGTAGGAGGGACATGTGTGGCGGAAGGCAGCCAAACGTGGGCAGGAGAAGTTCAGCCTCAGGTAGCCCCTTGTGTGGCCCTGAATGGTTGTCCTCAATCCTAGCCAGTTCCTCTCCTAACTCTCACCACACCCCAGAAGGTTGTTGCATTCCACAGGGAAGAAAACGGAGCCTTGGGGAGATTAAGTGACTTGCCCTGGGTGGAGGGGTCAGAGGGCAGGGAAATTGGGAGGCAAAACAGGATAAAGAGGAAAAAAGTCATACCATAAGAGAGGGGTCTGCACAGTCCTACAAGGAAGATGGGGTTCCAAAAACAAAGGAATATAACTGTCTATACTCGATCTAACAATAGCCTGGGGATGAAGACACAGTTCTCATCTCTGATTTTCAAAGCTTCATCAAACTTGGACTGCTTACAAAATAGCCTGTGTTTCCCCTTGTTTTAAAACAAAAGCCTGTGCTTTTCTTCTTTTTTTTTTAAATGACATATAATTGACATATAACATTATATTAGTTTCAGGCGTACAGCCTGTGCTTTTCTTGTGGTAACTTTCTGACACACGTGGGGAGTAGCCACACATTTCAATATCCTGACATTCCTATGAAGCCACTAAGGCAGTGGTGGCTGCTTTGCTATCTGACTGTAACCCACAGTAAGAGGTACATTCTACAATTTGAGAAATATGTTCTAGAGCGTGATACAGAACACACATGCAAGCGTTTGCGCACATGTGCATATGTGTATGTTTTACTTCCTTCTGAATTCCCAGTGCCTAGTACATACTAAGTGTCCATCAAATATTTATTGAATGAATGAGTGATTGATTAAATAAATTAATGAATTTGTAGATGTATGATTGACATGAAAGTTCCATAAAACAATGCTTAACTTACTACTTGTATTCTACTTCATGACCAACTAAAGTAAGTTTTCGATCCGTTAATGGATCACGAATCAAAGTCTGAAGACACTGTCATGATACCCCAATATTGGCAGGGAAGTGGTTTTAGTTCTGAGATATAGTCAAGAGTTTAGCAAAGGGATTATCAACTTCATGTCAAGGTTCACCAACTGCTATCAGAGACAGAGAGATTCTCACTGGCCACCACCTCCACTGAACTGATTCTTAGTTTCAAGGTATAAGGCCCCACAGCTGGCACTGGCAAGATAGGACAGAAAACAAGAGACA